GTCCATCCACCGCCAGCAGCCAATCCCATCTCCCATCTCAGCATCCTCACACCCACCGCTTGGCACTTTCCAAACAGGCAGCTGTGTGGCTCGCCGCGTGGTCTGGCGCTGAGGTCATCCTCTGGGCGTGCGGGGGTCAAGCGACTTCAATGGCCGACTCGACCGAGACATCCGCGTCATTCCCCAAAACCAAGGGAAACCGCCAAGCGCCGAAGAGCTTCGGCGGATCCTTTTCCAAGGCTTTGAAAACCAGGCCTGCGGCTACGTCTCTCCTCTGGGCTGGCGTGGCGGCTCGGCGGTCAATCCTGTGAGATACGAGGACGCGCTGATAAGGACCGGTCCTTCCCCCCTGCACGATGCCGCAACGATTCCCCTGCCTCTCATCTTCTGCGCGGCCACCATGGAAGCACTCAAAAAGGCAATTAACGTCGTCCTCCCGCCTCCCCAAAAGGGCGAAGACGGACGCGATCAATGGGGCTCGCGCTGGGCCTTCATCATGGCGGCCATGGGCGGCGCCGTCGGGCTGGGCAACCTCCTGCGGTTCCCGTCCATCGTGTTCAACAACCACGGCCTGCAGTTCTTCATCCCTTACCTGATGGGTCTCGCCGTGCTTGCTGTCCCGATCCTGATGCTCGAGATGGCCGTCGGCCAGGCCTTTCGCGGCGGCTGCGTGCTGGCTTGGCACAACCTCAACAAGTGGGCCAAGGGCGGCGGCTGGTCCGTCGCCTTTAGCGGGTATGTCATCGCCACCTACTACGTGCCGCTCATCGCCTGGATCATGCACTACTTTCGCGTTTCCTTCATCAGCCCCTTGCCGTGGACGGGCCGCGTGCGGGAATACTTTGCCGACGTCGTCGTCGCCAATATCCCGGGGCAGGGCGGGCGGCTCGACGACTACGGCCGGGTCGCGTCCTATAAATGGTATCCCGGCACCGCCATGGTGGGCGAAACGGTGGGATGGACAGCCTTCACATGGTTCGTGGTGTGGCTCTGCAGCTTCAAGGGCGCAGGCCTGATCGGGCGCGTCATCTACATCACCATGGCGCTTCCCTTGATCCTGATCGTCGTCCTCATCGGCCGCTCCGTGTCCCTGCCCAACGCCATCGACGGCGTGCGATTGTACTTTGCCACGTGGCGCGGCGAGACGCTGGGCGGGGCCACCATCTGGCAGGAGGCGACGGGCCAGATCTTCTTCTCGGTCGGCATCGGCATGGGCTACTACACGTCGTACGCGTCGTACAACGCAAAGTACGCCAACACGGTGCAGGACGCCGTCATCGTGGCGCTGTGCAACTCCACCATCGAGGTCGTCGGCGCCTTCGCCGTCTTCGGCATCGTCGGCTTCCTGGGCTTGGTGCCGAGCGCAGAAGAGCGGCTGAGCACCTTCACCAGCGGCTTCATCACCTACCCGGAGGCCCTGTCGCAGATGCCCGGGTCAAACTTCTTCGCCGTCGTCTTTTTCTTCACTCTATTCCTGCTGGGCCTGACGTCGACATTTGCCCTGCTCGAGGGCATCGTCACCATCATCTGCGACACCGAATGGGGCCGCAAGCTCTCTCGCCCGTGGTGGGCCACCCTCGTCGCCGTCCTTTCGTTCCTCATCTCGCTCGTATACTGCACCGAGTTCGGCTACGAGCTGCTGGACGCCGTCGATACCTACGTCAACTACCTGGCCTTGTTCTTCGTCACCTGGTCCGAGTGTTTCGCCGCCACGACGCTGTACAGACACAAGGACGTCATCGATCAGGTCGGCCTGGCGTCCATGCTCGTTTACAACGGCGGCTACGTTCTCGCCCAGGTCTTTGGCATGGTAGTTGGCCACATGATACATCCGGGCGCCGGAGCTGGCTTCGGCTTTGGTCTGTTCTTGCTGGCGACTGCAGTGGCTCCCGTGTTGGCCAAGGACCCCGGTGTGTCCTCTCCAGGCTTCTTTGCCAGAAACAAATTTTCTCGGCGATTCTGGTGGATGGCTTTTTACTCGGTAGGTGTCTGTCTGTCATCCTTTTTTTTTTCCCTAACCTTCTTACTGACGGCATCCATGCTTCTCAAACACAGGGCAACCAACTTACCAGAGATCTCAACGGCGTCGTCGGCACAGGCAAGAACTGGAAGATCCCGAGCTTTTGGGCGCCGCTGCTCAAGTACATCACATCTCCGATCCTGCTAATGCTGCTGAGCCTGGTCTATCCGCTGTTCAACTCCAAACGCACCGACCCACAGCACATCTTTGCCTTTTCCTTGATGCATCTTGTCATGGTCGTTACCGTCTCCGTATTTGTCTATCCGAGGTATTTCAACGTCTTTGTCAGGCGCTCGGCACGCGATGCAGGAGACCAGCCAGTTGCCCCCGGCGTGGTAATGGACACGTACACGGACCGTATTGACGGCACCGGTGTGATGACTGGGCCTGATGAGAACGGAGAGCTTGGCCTGCATTCCAGCAAGGAGAAGGACTATGCTGAGCAGAAATGAGGACGCCTCGCGGGTATAGCCCGAGGCTTGGGGCATGTAGGCCGGTAGCTTAGAGTGAACCATTTCGTGCACGGGTAGACACGATACTCGTTACGCTGTCTGGATCGCGTTGTACCAGGGGCGGGGACGGGTCTTTGTCAAGCTGGGTTGATGTGTCGACAAGCGGAACGCCTCTCCTATTGTCCAGCACGTTGACAAAGGCGAGCGAGATGCCAGTGACCTCATCTGGCATGCCGATAAACGATACGGGCGTGTGCGGCAGCGACAAGGCCACGGCGAGGAGAGCGGAGCGGGCGCTGAAGTCGTAGTCGGCCCAGGTGACGGTGGAGAACAGTATGGCTACATCGGGGCGCCGAGGCCAAGAGCGGGTAAGCACGAGAGAGTCGACGAGTCGACGGTGGGCCGGTGGAAGAGACAGTTCACGATTCGCGTCAGCTAGGTTTTCTTGCCAGGGATGCCCAAGAAAGGGAAAGGCCGACGCTGTCAGCAGATACATGATCCAGATCCATGACAGCTGGACTGCTTGTGATGTGGTGTCGCCATTTTCTGCGTCGTCACAACCACGACAAAAAAAGCTTCCCATGGCTCGTTTTCTGGGATTCCCGGGAGGTAAGAAGTCGAGCGCGGGCTGGTGCCCAAGGCAGCAGAGACGGTTGTGGCGGGTGGCATAAGGGGTAGTGATTAGTCACGGCCTGGCTGTCGAAACCTTGGGCACCGCCCCATCGACGCCGTTGACGCTGCCATCAGGGAATTAGATGTGGCATCGGAATCTTGGTGCTCAGGGTTCTTTGTGGCCTTGGTCCCAGAACAGCGTTTCGAGGCTAACCTAAACCACGGTAATGGAACGATCAAACATTTTATGCCGAGATGTGGGGGTCATCAATGCCATGCTGTCTGTGGGCCTTGCGCGTCTCGGGGGTTTGACGCCCAAGAAGTCTGGAAGGAAGCAGCGAAAACAAAAAGCAGGTAAAGAAGCAGAACCATGGCAGTGTCCTCGTCGGGCACCACCCAACAGAAGAACCTTTCGCAATGGCGGTCTGGAATCCCACAACCAACAAAACCTACCAGATCCTCAAGGCGGCCGAGGAGGGCGGCTATGGCGTGCAGGCGCCCATCGCCTACAACCTGGAGCACGTCGTGGCCTTCGTGGCGGCCGCCGAGGCGAAGCGGTCGCCGCTCATAATCCAAGTGTTCCCGTGGGCCGTCACCTTTTCCGACGGTCTCATCGTCCACGCCGCCGCGAACGCAGCCAAGCAGGCCACGGTGCCCATCGCGGTGCACATGGACCACGCGCAGGACGAGGCCCTGATCCGGCGGGCGGCCGACACGCTGCCGCTGG